ACAGTTTTCTTTTTGTGTGATATTTTTATCTGGTTTTGGTATCTGGGTGATTCTAGCCTCATACAATGAGTTTGGAAGTGTTCCCTCTTCTATTATTTTGGAAGAGTTTAAGTAGAATTGGCATTAATTTATCTTTGAATTTTTGGCATGAAACCATCTGGTCCTGGGCTTCTCTTTGTTGAAAGGGTTTGGGTTACTAATTCCATCTGCTTCTTTGTCATTGGTCTGTTCAGACTTTCCATTTCTTCTTGATTCTGTTTTGGTAGGTTGTACGTTTATAGGAATTTAGCTGTTTCTTCTAGGTTATCCAATTTGTTGGCATATAATTGTTTATAATTATCTCTTAGGGTTCATTTGTTTCCTGAGTCATCTGTTGTAATATCTTCTCTCATTTCTGACTTTTAAAAGATTTTATTTAGTTATTATTAAAAAGGTGAGGATACCCTGGCTGGTGTAGCTCAGTGGATTAAGCACGGGCCTGCGAACCAGAGGATTGTGGTTCAATTCCAAGTCAGGGCACATTCCTGAGTTGCCGGCCAGTTCCCAGCAGGGGACGCACAAGAGGCAACCATACATTGATATTTCTCTCCCTTTCTCCTTCCCTTCCCCTCTAAAGATAAATAAATAAAATAAATAAAATAAAAAGGTGAGGGAAGGAGAAGAAGAAGGAGAGAAACATTGATGTGTAAGAGAAACATTAACTGGTTGCTTCTTGCATGGCCCCAACTGGAGACCTGCTCGCAACCCTGACAAGTGCCCTGACTGGGAATTGAACCAGTGACATTTTGGTTCATGGGCTGATGCTCAGTCCACTGAGTCACACCAGCCAGAGCTCATTTCTGATTTTTGAAATTTGAGTATTGCTTTCTTTCTTAGGATAGCTGAGTGTTTGTTGATACTATCTTTTCAAAAAAATCAACTCCTACTTTTTTCTTATTGCTTCTCTATTATATATTTGATTTATTTGTACTCTATCTTTATTATTATTTTTCTTTTGCTACCTTTCAGCTTGATTTGTTCTTCTTTTCCTTGAGATCTCCCCACTTTAAAAAATTTATCGATGTGTGTGTGAAAGAGAAAGAAAGAAACATCAGTTTATTGTTCCACTTATTCATGCGGACATTGGTTGAGTCTTTCACATGCCCCAGCTGGAGGGTCAAACCTGCAACCTTGGCATGGATGGGGCAATGCTCTAACCAACTGAGCTACCCAGTCAGGGCTCTTTTTTCTTTTTCAATGTGAGTGATTATCACTATAAGTTTTCCCTTAGTATTGCTTTTGCTACAACATTCTGTAAGTTTTGGTATGCTGTATTTTCTTTCTTTTTTTTTTTTTGTCTAAAGGTACAATTTAAATTTTCTTTTAATTTCCTTTTTGACCAAATAGTTATTGAAGGGTGGGTCATTTAGTTTCCACATGTTCATAAATGTTCTCATTTTCGTGTTTGTATTGATTTCTAGTTTCATTCTAGTTTGGATGGGAAAGTCGCTTGGAATAATATATTTTGAATAATATATTTATTTGGGAATGATATATTTAGTATATTTTGATATTAAATTTGTTAAGACTCATTTTGTAACCTCACGTGGTCCATCCTGGGGAATGTTTCATGTGCATTTGAGAAGAGTGTGTGTTCTACCGAGTAGAAAGTTCTGTGTGTCTGTTAGGTCTCTTTGGACTGTAGCGTCGTTCATATCAGCTGTTCACTGATTTTCTCTCTCGATGGTCTTTCCATTATTGGAAGGCTATTAATTTTGGCATGTCGATCTTATAAAGCTGTTCTTCACTAAATTGACATGTCTCAGTAATTATTTGTCTGTGAATGTTTTGGGGAAATCATGATATTTAATTATATCATTTGAAGTAAAGGATAGTTCTACTTCTTCCTTTCTAATTCTCAGTCCTATAATTGCTTTCTTTTGTCTAATTAACTTGACTTATATGTCCAATACAATGATAAATATAGTATGGTGATATGAGGTATCTCTGTCTTTTTTGTTATTTCTGACCTTATTAGAAAAGTTTTTAGAGGTTCCTCATTAACTAAAATGTTGATTTTTAAAGAAAAAAAATATGTACATATTACATGTGTATATATATATTGTACTATACAAATTATATGTAATTGTATGTTATATATAGTATACATATGTGTTATATAGTTATAGTAAAGTTTCATTAATTACTATATAATTGGATTTCTAAAACTATAAATGGGTATTAAATTTTGGCAAATATTAATGTTTTGCTAATATTGAACCAACCTTGAATTTATAGAATAAATCTAATTGTATCTAGGTATGATATACTATCTTTTAAATCTAATGTTACATACTCCTTGCTTACATTTTTTTAATTTATTTTTTTATTGATTATGCTGTTACAGTTGTTCTATTCCCCCCTTCATTCCCCTCCACCCTACCCCCCCGTCCCCACCACTGCCCCCCTTTAGTTTATGACCATGTGTCTCAAGTTCTTTAGATTCTATATTTCCCATACTATTCTTGCCCCCCATCTATTTTCTATCTACTGTCTATGCTACTTATTTTTGGTACCTTCTCCCCCCTTCTCCTCCTCCCACTCCCCTGTTGCTAACCCTCCTTGAGATCTTCATTTCTATGTTTCCACTTCTGCTCTAGCTGTCCTTTTAGTTTGCTTTTGTTAAAACAAAAAGTGTGGTTGTTAATAACTGTGAGTTTGCTGTCCTTTCACTGTTCATCTTTTTTATCTTCTTTTTCTTAGGTAAGTCCCTTTAACATTTCATATAATAAGGGCTTGGTGATGATGAACTCCTTGAATTTGATCTTATCTGAGAAGCACTTTCTCTGCCCTTCCATTCTAAATGAAAGCTTTGCTGGGTAGAGCAATCTTGGTTGTAGGTCTTTGGGTTTCATGACTTGGAATACCTCTTTCCAGCCCCTTCTTGCCTGTAAGGTCTCTTTTGAGAAATCTGCTGACAGTCTGATGGGGACTCCTTTGTAGGTGACTGTCCCCTTAGCTCTTGCTGCTTCTAGGATTCTCTCCTTCATTTTAATCTTGGCTAATGCAATGACGATGTGCCTTGGTGTGTTCCTTCTTGGGTCCAACTTCTTTGGGACTCTCTGAGCTTCCTGGATTTCCTGGAAGTCTATTTCCTTTGCCAGATTGGGGACATTCTCCTTTATTATTTGTTCAAATAAGTTTTCCACTGGTGGCTGTTCCTTTCCCCCTTCTGGTACCCCTATAATTCGGATGTTGGAGTGTTTAAAGATGTCCTGGAGGTTCCTAAGACTCTTCTCATTTTTTTGAATTCTTGCTTCTTCACTCTTTTCTGTTTGGCCATTATTTGCTTTCTTCTGGTCCACTCCATTGATTTGAGTCCCAGTTTTCTTTTCATCGCTATTGATTTCCTGTGCAATTCCATGCATTTCAATTAGTTTTGCCTTCATATGTTTGTCTAATTTGTGGCTATAATCAACCAGTTCTGTGAGGATCCTGATCACCAGTGTTTTAAACTGTGCGTCTGAGAGTTTTGCTATTTCTTCATCACTTAGATTTATAGGCTCTGGGGCTTTGAGTTCTTCTTGAGCCATTTTTGGTCTGTTCGTGCCCTTTAAATGTGAGGAGCGGAGCCTTGGACTCCCAGGTCGCTGGGTTGTGACGCTGTGTGTGGAGGCGGGGTCAGAGCGGGGAAATGGCGGCCCCTCTGCTGTTTCTCGCTGTGAAGGCAGGCTTGTTATTGGGGTGTGTGTGTGGAGGAGGAGCGGGGAAATGGCGGCCCCTCTGCTGCCGCTGCCGCTGGGGCTGCTGACTCTGGTCCAATCGCCCCTCCCTTGCTTGTCTATCCACACACGAATGCGTGACCACAGTCAACCTGCAGCCCTGCTCCTTCGCTGTTTCCCCGCGGTCGCTCGCTGAGTTGCCCACCAGGTCCAACCCTGTGCCTGGATTCTGCGCACCTGAGTCCATCTGACAGAGTTTTCCTGTGCTACCCTCCTCTGCCAGCTGCTGGTTTTGCCCCTCTTACTTGTCAGGCTGAAGAATTTGTTGTTATCAGACTTCCGAAAAGTTCAATTTTCTGTGTTCTGGCTGTGTTTTCTGTTGCTAATATTTAGTTGTCTCTAAACTTGGTCATGTGAGGAAGCACGGCGTCTCCACCTATCCTCCATCTTGGCAGAAGTCCAATCCTTGCTTACATTTGAAATTTTTCACACTGATATTTGTGAGTGAGGCTGGTCTGTAATTTTACTTTTAGATGCAATCTTTAGCATGTTTTAGAATCACTGTTACACTCGCTTCACAAAAACAGTGTTGAATTTTTCCTTTGGCTTTACTCTGGAATAATTTAAGTAGTACTGAAATTATTTGATCTTTAAAGATTTAGTAGAATCCTCTGTAAAACTATGTGGGCCTGGTGCCTTTTCCCCCCTTATTCTCATCCTTTTAAAAGTTAAAGTGTAATATACACACCGAAAACTGCACAAGTCATTGGCATCTAGTTCACTGAATGTTCTCAAATGGAATGTGTTTCATAATCTAAATACCGAGTAAGCAGGCACTAGCACTGCAGAAATTTCCCGCGAGCTTCCTTGGGGCTGTTTCATCACAATGCTGTCCAACTACATTCTGTATCTTTTTCCCTATGGTAAGTGGTCTGCTTAGATTGTTTTTACCTCCACTGGAGTTAATTTTGATAAACAGTATTTTTCTGCACAATTGTCTATTTTCTCCAGGCTTTCAAACTGATTTACATAGAATTATACAAATTAGTCTCATTATTTGAAAGGGCTTTTTTTTAAATAGCCATTATCTCCCCTAATCCTTACAAACTACAGGCACTGCACATAGTTTTCTTGATGTTCCATCAAGATCCAAATTATAAATCCTCACGTGTGTATGTGTAATGGTGCTGTTGAGTAGATGTTTTTCTGTATGTCTAGCGAGCTGTGTATCTAACCACCTACCTCTTTACCTTGCTCTCTGGGTATCTTCGTCTATTTCACAGTCGTGGAAGAGCATTAGCCTCAGGCTAAGGATGTGACACCGTCTTACAGCGGTGAGAGAGAAGCCAAGAGAATCATGGCAGCACTGGTCCTGCCTTTGACGGGCTGCTGCAATCACCCCGGGAAGCACCTGCCTCCAGAATTTTCGGTAAATGAGAGATGAGTCTGTTTTTCTGGGCCACTCCAAGTCGACATTCGGTTACTGGCAGCTAAACACATTCCTGAGACAGAGAATAAGACAGGCAAACCCAGAAAACTTAGGTGATCATAGTAGATGAATGCGTAAACACAGGGCAATCACAGTAGAGGTGCCAAATCACTCGGCTCCAAAATAGGGAGCAAAGTGGGGAGCAGTTACTCAAATTAAGTGCTTATTGCAATGGCCTTTTAGTGTAACCATTGTTAAATGACTAATATATGTGAATTATTCACAGTGTTTGAGATGTAATCTCTCCTTTTTTATTGTTGGACAGTGGGGTGCAGATTGGCTAAGTCTGGTGCAGATAATTAAGGCACATATTCGTAGGATTTGGAAGTGACCGCAGGAGACAGCCCTTATCAAGGGCCTGTGACAGTTTTTGGCACCTGGTAGATGCTCCATAAATGCTCATTCTAATGTTTTAATAACTGATACTAATCGAAAACACTGTTGGCTACCTGTACTTGGATGCCTGGCTCCTCCTCATCTTTATGCTTACATAAGAATAGTTACCTCTTCCAAGAGGCCCTCCTGGTTATTCTGTCTGAAGTGGAATCTCTCCCCCAATTGCTCCCGTTCCCTGTTGCCCCCAACTTGTCTAAGAGCTCAGAGACCTTGTCACCATCTGTATTTCTTTTGAGGATTTATTTGGTAAGCGTGTCCCCCCCCCAATAGAGTATAAACCCCATGAAAGCAGACGTCCCAGTGGCTGCCATAGGTCCTGTATTCTCTCTATAGTCATTGAATAACAGAATGACCAGAAGTGTCCAAAAAAGCCACATGCATTATGGCCAAAGACATATGGCCATTGGACATAGAAGGGGCATTTCTTCTGCTACAGTTTTGCTCACATTTAAATAAAAGGGAAGGTGGGTAAAAGTTTTGCCCAATCCAGGCCCTCCTCTTATTAGGCCTCATCAGGGGGCTTAGTGGTTTATTATTATTATTATTGTTATTATTATTATTTCTTTAAAAGGTCAGCGAATAGTTATTTATAATAACTGGCCTATGCACTTTACAAAGTGTGGCACAAATTGTTACATTTAGAATAATGTTGTTTTGTATTCAAATAGAGATAAAATTCAACTAAAAAAATGAAAACTAATGTCTTCTTGTAATCAAAGATTTAGATGTAATTCTCCATAGTTTTTTGGCTTTCTGAAGACCCTAGAGTTTAGATTTTAGAGTGAGTGGCCCAGTGAGAGTGTGGTTTGGCGCCAGGTCAAAGGGCAAATGGAAAGGAAAATGTTCAGAGAGGAGGGAGGGACTGTGAAGAAGTGAAGGGACCCTCAGACACAAAGGAGTGACTGGAGGTGGCCCCGCAGCTACCCTGGGAACTGGGGGGAAGGCCAGAGCCCCTCCCCCTTCTGCCCCGTCCCCACCACCCCATCATCACCGCCACGTGTGGGACCCCAGAAGGCCCCGCAGGATTTCCCTTCGGGGTCACAGGTCATGGATGACAGGCACCCTGGAAAAAACACCAGGACACCATCTCATCTCTTTCTCCTGTGTCTTCCTCACCCGCCGTCTGTGTTGCTGCAGTGAAGCACTGGCTGCGCCTGCCCCAGTTGGAAGGCCGTTTTCCCAGCTCACCACCAGCCTTGTCTCTTGGGCAAACAACCTTGGCCTCCCTAGGCGTCCATTTACTCTTTGGCCAGATGGCGGTAACAGCCGAACCTATCTCACTGGGCAGACTGGCACATAGTAGGTGACTTTTACTCTTTCTAGAAGTTCTCAAAGTATAGACCAGCCAGGGGGAGAAGCTCTGGGGTATCATTCTCTTGGTATAACTGCTCTGTGGCCTTGAAATTTTTCTAATTTTGGCGGATATGTGGCTAGTGCTGTGGCTACCTTCTGTGGACTACTCGGAGAAGGTTCCGGAAGTTCTATGTAACTGGCGTGCAGGTGGTCACCTGCAAAGAGGGACTATGGGACTATGGGACTAGCATTGAACCTATTTTCTGCTAACATAGCCTTTCCTTAGATGGGTGTTGGTGTTGTCGGCTGGCCTGGTGGTTATACTTCACAGCCGGTCCCAGGTTCTAATTAGTTGTGTTTTTTTGGAGTACTTCGTGGGATTATGGGATTTTATGGGCTGGTCTCCTGGCTATATTTGCATAGTAAGAAATTGTGTAGATTATATGTTAATTTAGGCTGGTTTTTAAAAAATATTTTATTTTTAATTTTTTTTGAGAGAGAAAGGGAAACATTAATTTGTTGTTCCACTTAATATGCATTTATCAGTTGATTCTTGTATGTGCCCTGACCGGGATCGAACCTGCAACCTTGGAGTATCCCCACGGCGCTGTAACTAACTGAGCTACCCGGCCAGAGCTGAGGGGGGCTTTTGAGGGTTGTTTTGTAGCCTAGTCCACAGAGCAAGCACACACTTTTTATGTGGACTGAATATTATGTAGGGAGGTTTATGGAGATGGTGTTTTGGGGACGTTTTCTGCCCTCCCGGCTCATTTTTCTGATTCATTTGTCTAGGATTCATGTGATTTGGAAAACAGGAAGTGGAATTTTGGCCTGAATTACAGAATCAACTTGGTTAACGGCCTATTGGGCCTGGTTCAGAAGGTGCAAAGGTTGACGCTGGAGGCAGGCTGGTGTCTCCCGCCCCCTGCCCACCCACCTGGAGAAGCCACACTACAGGTAGGCGCATCCTTAAAGGGCGACCCTGAAGACAAAGGGCTAGAGACCCCAGTGGACCTCAAGTCCAAGCGGCAACCCGCCATGGTTTCCCCGGGGAGGCGCAGGTTTTCCTTGTATTTCATTTATGATGCAGGTTCCACATTTCCAATGTATTTTTTTTAATTGCTTGTTCATGTGTTTTGCCCATTTTTGTGACGGGTTTGCTTATTCTTCTTGCTAATGAGGGAAACTAACCCTCTGGGACAGATTTTTATCCAGTCCCCACCCCCATTCGTATTTTATGTGATTTATAGTTTGTGTGGCCCGCCCCTCACCGCCCCCCCCTTCTCTCCTCCATGGCTTTTGGATCTTACATCACGCTTAAAGATTTATACTATGTAAGATTTTAATCATAAAAATGGCCAGTTTTAAAGTACCTTTTTGTATGTAAACATGATTGACTGATGTATGAAGTAAGGGAGGGCTTCAGCTTAAAGTTTTCCCCAAATGGCTAGCCAGTTATTCTAATTTTCTATTTATGTGGTAGTTCTTGCTACCACGGCCCATTTTGGGGAGATTCTGGGGACACGGACACCCTGGGTGTGAGTCGAGAGGACCTTCGGATAGGGCACCAAGGGCCACAGTATAGAATTCTCCAAGGGCCTAATGGTTCCCCCCCTGGGCATTGTTTGGGAGGAGGATGGGGGTGGGGGTTTTGTATTGGCTGCAAATTGTCTCCAGGAACCCAAGGGTTAGGTCAAGAAAGGGGCAAGATTTGTACACCCATTTATAGGCGTGGGCCTTGTTCTCCTCCACGTGGGGCCTCCCAACTTTGAGGCCATTGACACCGCGACCCAGGGCAGGTGCGCGCAACCCACCGCAAATAACGCAACGGAGTCGCAGCTGCTCACATTTAATTTTTTATTGATTTTTAATGCTGCACAAGACAATATTTATTTCATTTAACTCATTTAATGATTTGTTTGCTGCTGCTATTTCAATTAAAGAGAGAGGGAACCATTGTGGCCTTTTATATCTGAAGGCCGCCTTAAGCTTTCTAAATTTAGAATATTTAAGCAAGCGGAAAGGGAGGGGGGTTTGCAAAATCACTCAGGGGGGGAGGGAAGGCTGCGTTGTCAATCATGCCCTATGGTGGGTGATTAACTGCGTGTACATTTCATTGTTAAATGCGCTTAAGGCTTTAACTAACTCGGGGTTCCCTTCTCACAGCAGCTCATACTGACGGAGGTGCATGCGCTGGATGATGTCGCGGCAGTCGTTGAACACACGGCGGATGTTCTCGGTGTCCACGGCGCAGGTGAAGTGCGGGTAGCAGTAGTGGCGCCCGTCCCCGCTCGCGGTGCTGATTCTCTGCGGGGTGAACACGCAAGGCGGTGAGCGCCCCCTCGCCGGAAAGCCCTCCCCGCCAGGACCCTCCGCCAGCCACCGACGTTACTTGCAACGAATCCCAGCGAAGGGGCCCAGAAGCTCAAGTCCAAGGGGGGGGGGCTACCCATGAAAAAGAACCGAAGGGCTGATGGTTTAGTCCCCACGGGAGGGAGCACCTCGACCTCCGTCCCGGAGAGAACCAAAGACGGTCTCTACTCACCAGAAACTCATCGCGGATGAAGTACTTGGCCCGGGTCACGCGTGGGTCCTCTCCGGGCTCGGGAGTAGCTATGGAGAAGAGAAATATTTTGTCACTTAGTTAACCAGCGTAGTTGCGTGGTGGCCACCCCTTAACCTCTCGGGTCTCTCCACGTGCAAATGGCGGACAACAGAAAGGAGCCGCAGTGGCCACCAGGTCACACGCACCATCCTCAGGAGTAGTGTAGCGAGCGAACTCCGGAAAGTAGTCCTCGATCTTCGATTTCCCAGCGAGGACTTTCTCGGCCAGCAGGTCTTGCTTGTTGAGGAACAGAATCACGGAGATGGTGCGCAGCCATCTGACGGAGAGGGGGGCGGAGTTGGAGCCCAGCGAGAACCCACCCCGCAGCCGAGACCTGCCTGCAGCCCCAGGCGCCCCGCCCTGCACCCCACAGGCCGCTGGGATGGACCCCTGAGGGCTGCCACGCCCACCTGTTGTTCCAGATGCTCTTGAAGAGGTTCAGAGCCTCCTGCAGGCGGTTGGTCTGGTTGTCCTCACGAATGACCATGTTGTAGCTGCTGCTGGCCACCACGAAGATGATGGCGGTCACGTCTACGGCACAGGACAGGACAGGGATGTGTGTTGGAGGCCACAACGGACCCTCCCAACCAAGAAAGCAACGCGTCCCCGCCCAGGAGAGGCCCGCGGCGCCCATACCATTGAAGCACTGGATCCACTTGCGGCGTTCGTCGCGCTGGCCGCCCACGTCGAACATGCTGCAGGAGAGGACACCGGTCACTGCGCAGGGCCGACCCTGTTGCCCCATCCGAGGGCCAGAGGGGACAGGGCCATCTACTTACTGGAAGTTGACTTTGTCCACCTGGAACTTGGTCTCAAAGATTCCAGAAGTCAGGACACGGCAGCGAAGCAGGTCCTAGAACAAAGTCAAGGTCAGCAAGTCTCGCCCAAACCAACCGAAATGTTAAAACCCACCCATCTAGAGCCAAAGTCCTGGCGAGCTTGTCCAGGGGACTCTAAACCCTGACTGCGCACCTGGTCGCTGGGGACGTAGTCCGCCTGCTTGATGACATCGATCTTGTCCAGGAAGCTGGGAGAGAAGACAGACAGACACGCGTGCGCTCAGCCCCGCCCCTCCCGGCCAAGTCCTGCCGTGGGCCCCACCTGTGCCGGACTCTGGGGTCTTTGGGCTCGGGTTCCCCGCCAAGGGACCAACGGAAGCGTGGTGTCTGTGCTCCTCAGAGGGACAGCCCTTCCTTCTCCCTTTTAAAAACCTTACTCATCACGGAGAACAAGAGGAGGCCACGCATGGGCCCCGCCTGCGCGACCACACTGCACAGGAAACGTGCACAGCGCTCCCTTCCGGCCCGTGCGGCCCACGGACCAGGAGAGTCCAGATGTGAAATCTGGAGCGTGAAGACACCTCGGGGCCACGCGGGCGGGGTCTGGGGGCGCCCCTGGAGGACACGGGGGCCGTGGGTGGAGAGGGGCCCGCCTCCCTCCCTACGGCTGAGCTCGTTGCTTTTGTGTTGCTCCACTCAAAACACTACCAGGAAAAGTAACTTCTGAAAGACTAGACTAATGTAACTGATATGAAAAGTTGATGTTAAACCCGCGGTGGGGGTGGGAAGTGCTTTAAAATGGGTTCATCAGAAAAGAAAACCCCGGAGGGAAAAAGTCTCCTGAAAGAAGTTCTGTGAGTTTTTTTTCCCCTTCCTCTTCACCAGGCGAGAGTCGGCCCGGCTGGGAGGGCACGCCAACTTGCCCAATCAGTCTTACATTACAGCGCCAGGCCAGAAATAGCTCCCCAGCCGCCCTGGCCGCCAGCGCGTTGCCATGGCAACAGAACCACAGTTCTATAAATAGCTCATCAGTACCAAATCTTGTGAGAGAGACAGCTGGAGCCGGGCCAGCCAAACCCCAGTTCAACAAATAAAAATAGGCAGCTTAAGACACGGGCAAGGCACCAGTATCTAAACTTTAACGTGAAGGCGCTGAAGGCGGAGGCGGGCTGGGCAGGGCCCACGCAGGCCCACGCAGGCCCCGGGATCCTGGGGCCAGGGGTGCCATTTTACAAGTTGTCAGCTAAGTTCTCTCTCTCCCTGAGTTTCTTCAAAGTTGCCATACACTGTGGGCATGGTGCCACTTTCAGACAAAGTTGCAGTAGTGATTTAACGTTGCATTAAAAAATAAAGAAAACAAAGCGAAAAGAACACCCTGGCCAGCGTGCCTCAAGGGCGGGGCCTCGCCCTCCCCGAGGGCACCGCGGGCCTGACCCTCTACCTGTCCTGCTCTCTTGGATCCAGCACAGAGCGGACAATTCCAGGATTTCCATCTGTTTTGCGTTACTATAATTAGCACTTCCAGCTCTCAGCTGAAACTTTTCAGAAAATCAGGACTTGGTGGAAGAAGGGGTGGGGGTGGGGGTCCCGGGGACTGGCTGGGATGGGCCTGTTTTTCTGGCCCCGGTGGAAACGCTCACGTCTGCCGGCCAATTAAGCCCTGAGCAGCGATAGCAAAGCCTTTATCAGCTACCGGGGCGGGGGAGGGAGGCATCTTTTTGTCAGGTTTTCCTTGGTTTTAAGTGACAGCAGTGAGCTATTTCTACATTATCCAAAGTGTGCGCGCCGCCCCGCCTCCCTAATTAATCATGACTATCATCTTCTTGCTTTAGTAATTGCCAATTTGGCTACCAGGCACTAATTGTTTGTATAAAATAACATCCCCGCACTGGCAAGTGCAACGAGGGTTTTGAGCAAGGTTGACTCAGAGGGGCCGCCTAACTAACTGCAGGTGGGACAGGAGTCGGGGCGCGTGTGCGGCGCGCACCGACCGGGCAGCCACTTACTACTGGGCGCAGTCGATCAGCTGGTACTCGTTGGAGCGCTCGTAGCAGGCGCGCACCCCCTCGTCCTCCCACAGAGCCTTGGCGTGCTCGTAGAACTCCTGCGGGCGGGCGGGGCGAGAAAGGGCGTCAGGGCGGGGTCCCGCCCGCAGGTGGGCCCAGGTGCGCGGGGAGCGCCGGGCGGGGCCTGAGCCCGTGTGCCGCGGCCAGCCAGAGGGGCTCTGGGGGCCCCCAGTTAACGGGACATGAGGGTTCGTGTGCCGTATTTAACACACTGTCGTGTCACTAGATGAATACGAGGGGCAATTACAGGGGCCAGAACTCATGACTTTTTCCTCGGGTGGCAGAATTTTGCTCGTCCATCATGTGCCGAGCCATGCCTATTAGTTGGGGTTTTGTTTGTGAACAGTAAGGAACGCGCTTGCCTTCCTAGGGGTGCCATCCCTGAGGTGTGCGCTGCCGGACACAGGTGTGGCGCTCACACAGGTGTGGCTGCGATGTGGTGTGCCGGCTACCCTGGTGTGTGTGTGTGTGTGTGTGTGCGCTTGATACCCACACCGGGGC